TTTTATTCATATACAATATATTATTTGTGTTACTGATTATATCATTTATATGTCGATTCGAGAGTAATTTATGAATTTGTTCTACTGGTTCTATTTTTTTTTGCTAGATAATTTTTACTTAAATTTTCTTAATTTTTCTAATTTCTAACTTATTTGCGTTGAAATTCTTCACAGATGCCACTAAATGATAAGCTAGACTGTTTTTTGTTTCGAGCAAACAATAAGCTAAATTAGTTAAAAATTTTGTGAAGTTGTCCGACTAAAAGTTTGTACTTATTTAAGTTAACGAGTAAATTAGCTATTTTGTTCATAGACTTTTTTAATTCACACTAAAAATCGCTAATTTCTTGCCAATTTTTCCTACTTAAAACGTTAAAACTTTATTTGTATTGGTGAAGCAAAAAAAAATAAATATTTTAAAATTTTTGCAAAAATTAAAATTATTAAATTTTAATGAACAATTCGATTTATAGACGATTTTTCTATGAAAATTCTTTAATAAAGAAATCTTAAATTAAATTTTAAAATTAAATTGAATTAAAGAAAATACAATAGAAATTTATTAAATTTTTACTGTATTATCGTTTTTAAAAATTTTAAAAAAAAGAAATTTCGCAAAACTTTTAAGCTTTAAAATCTTTGAATTGTCAGATTATAGAAATTCTTTACGATTTTCCCATGAAAAAGAACAATTTGAACAAATTTCTACATTTTTGAAAATTAAAAGATCCGCAATCTTATATGCATATTCATTAATGTGCAATACGTCTAACATATTTAACATGCAGTACAATACAAGAAAGTGTAAATTTTTATAACCTTATTGAGGACACTCTACTAATATTTTTTTAGTATGTTTTAGTCTTAAAAGAGCATTAAAATTTCTGGATGATACAATTCTTGCCAAGGTGCTATTTGTAGATAAGTCCATCGGTCCACCTATATGTTGAAAATCTTTCCTCATTTTCCAGACCTTAATTGGTCCTTCCCGCTTTTGACGCCATCCATTATAAGGTTTAGCGAGTAACGAAATATGTAATGGGTGAAGAAAGTGTCCTAATTATCGAAGGCGACACTTTGTTATGGTACCATTAATGTAGATGGGATTTGAGCGAAGATAAATGTAATCCTATGAGATGGGCTCGGTAAATCCGTAAAAAATAAAAAATAAAAAATGTCTTAAAGATGAGTGATCAGAAGCAGATAACTTTTTAATATCATCGGCCATGTCTTAGAGCCATATATCAAGATCGAGCGAATTACTAAATGGATACGGTCTTCCGTTTTTATAGTGATTCGTCAGTGGAAGAACCTATTTCTAGCTATTATTGTCCTAATGGTAATTTTATTTTTCGCTTAACCGTTTGAAATTAAAGTGGATCCGATGCCGATATATTTAAAGTCTGGCACTTCTTCAACCCAAAAAGTGAATTGATAAAAATAGGTGTTTTACCAGTTTCTTGTACGTATGACTAAAAGGCTTTCGTTTTATTTACATTCCGTAACCGTGAACTTTCACTACACATTATTTAGCATTATTTGCATTTCGGCATAATTGCCAGCAAAAAGCACCGCATCTTCAATGCATTCAAGACCTATATTGTCATTTGTTATCGGGATTTTTGCACTTTTTGCATGCTGATAAGCGATATCCAATCTATTGCATAGATGAAGAGAAAGAACGCAACCTTGACGCCAGTTCTTATTTCGAAAGAGTCTGTTAGTCCTCCATATACAAACCTGTGCCGATGCACGTTGGTAAAATGCATTTATTAGGCACTCATTGTTTGACATGCATATTCATGCATACATTTACATTATACTTTAGGTAATCCGAACTGGCAATTTAGTATGTTCAGTTCCATTCTTGAACATTTAAATTCTCAAAGTTTACTTAATTTTTTTTGAATTTTTTAAGAAATTTTTTTTATTTGCAATAATCTGATTAATTACAAAAGAATAATTAAACAAATTGATGCGCCAAATTACAAATTCCTACAAAAAATTATATTGCTAACATGGAATATTTGATACAGAAGTAATTATCATTCCAGAAAAAATCAGTATGCACCACTTGAATTTATTTTAGCATTTTAGCATTTTCGCTTGGCATTGTTAAAATGTCAAATATTTATGCTAGTGATGCACTAATACTTCTGTAATACTCGTGATATGAAAACCAATTCAGTAGAATTTATTCAAAAGTTGACTTCTATTCTACAATATAAAATCTATCTTGAAGATCATGAAGTAGGGAACTTTTAGCTCGGATTTATTTCAGGCTGTTATATGGAGGAAGTTCGTGCCTACTTCTATCATCCAGGTGGCTTACCGTGCCAATGGAATGAACCAATTCAGATATAGGGAATACTATTAGAAGAATGAAAGAAAAAGAAATACGATATCTGCTCTATTTTCTGCAAATCAAAGCAATATTTTAAAAGATTTTTTGTTTTAACTGCAAGAAAAGAATTCTATTAAGAAATGAAACTCATTATCTTTCATTTATTTATGTCAATTACATAAATTAATGCACACATAATTTTTTTACAATTTTACGATTTTTCTAGAAAAAATAGAATATTCGAACAAATATTATGTTTTTACTAAAAAAAAAAAAGAAGCTAATTGCTGAAGCCATTTCATGTTGCATTGCTGGATTTTAAACAGGAAATTAAAAAAGAAAAAAGGTTAAAATAAGTGCTCTAATAATTATAATCATATACCTCGCTTTTTCTAAAGTTATAATCAAAAGGAAAAATTTTGCGGAATTGTTCACTAAAATTTTCTTCTTCAATTTTCGAAAAAAAAAAAAATTATATTCATAAACAATGAAAAGAAAATTTTCAGTCTTTTTTATAATTTTCTAATTACAAAATTAAAATATATAATTTTATAGAAATCAAGACAAAAACAATAAAATGTCTGAAATATGATTGTAGTTCCTTTGTTTATTAATGATTTTCATAAAAAGTAAAGAAAATGGATGAATAGGAAGAGTCATGTACAGGAAAAAAAATAATATAATGATTATCGCTATTCATTATAATAGTTTGAAAAAAAATTCAAATCCTCTATCTTCATTCGCCATTTTCGTTGCGAGAAAAATGGCTGCAAAGAGGAGAAATAAATTGACGATACCGATTAAAAACATTCAACTGTGGATTTTTACAAAAATCATTTCTGTGTGAAATCTTTATTTCAAAATGATTTATTTATTCGAATCGCTCAAAAATTTTGTTCTAAAATCAAATAAAAATATTTTTATACTAAGTAAAATTTGAATAAATTAACAACTACAGTTCAATAAAATAAAATATCAATAAATTTTCCTATAATTTTGAATTTTTCCTACAATATAAATTGATAACGACAGATTTATTTCAAGCAAAGATAGCAACTGAAGAAAGAGATTCTCAAACTCATAAACCTTTCGCAGGCAATTTTTTTAAGAATCATGAATGTTTCCAGAAAATTTGGTTAAAATTTGATTAACCATTATTTATCATCATTGATTTGATATGCTTAAAATAAATATAACGAATTATCGTAATTTTATTTAACAGTAATCTTTACAATATCTAAGATCTCAAGCAACCAGCAGAATTTTATTGGTTTCTTTTTTTAGTTTGCAAGCTTTTTTTCATAAAACTTTAATTTTTAGAAAATCATTCAATCATCATTCAATTATCCCGGAATTTTAATCACTTTTATTTTGATGTTTATTTAAATAAGTTAAATAAGTTCAATAATATTAAAATTAATTAAGGATTATTGCATTCTTTTTTGAAACTGATTATCATTTGGAAAAAAGTTAAGTGAATAGCGATTTTCGCCAATACTTCACTTTTTCTGTCTAAATTTTCAGCAAAAATGGATACAAGAAAACCAAAAAAAGGATTGGAATAATTCGGCTTACTAAAGTTTACTAAATTTTACTTTTAAAGCACAAGATTTCATCTATTATTATTATTATTATTATTAATATTAATATCATTAATAATATTATTACCTAATTAGCAAGGCTAGTTAATGTTTCATTCATTTTCCTTGGCGGAATTAATTAATATTTATAAAAATCGAAGTAAAATTTTGCTTTTTCGTGTGAATCTACATCACCATTCTTAACGCTATCGTTTAATTCTTTTGAACTCATTTTAAATAATTCTTTATGCGAATAGCTAATAAATATGTTGTGTTTGCGACAAATGTTTTTTTTTTTCAAGATTTTATTATAATAATCAGATTCAAAGATTTAATTATTTAATTTAGAAAAAGATTTATTTCATTTTTTTTTATTTTTTTATTTTTTTGAATTTTTGTAATTTTCAATGAAAAATTCTACTAAACTTTAGGTATTTATTCTGAATATGTTATGTTATATTTACAATTATATTTATATATATTTATAAATAAATTTGCTAGTTTTGCATGCAAATTGATTTTTAATAGAAAAATAATAAAAAAAACAATATTTTCAATAAATGATGAGATTTATCAAATGGAATAATCGAAAAGTAGGATCTAATGAAATTTCGGTAATGAAACCTGGTGAAGCATAGTTTTTTTTCCAAGATCGCTTATCATTTCTGGCTAGGCTCTCTGCGCTGGCTTATGGGACTGGGAAAATTTTGCAATTCGACGACAGAAATACATGTAATTCGCCAGCAATTTTTTTTGAAATAAATGTTTGCCACCTGCCAGAAGTGGAACTTTAACACTCTTATTGACCTATTCTACCTCCCCAAAGTATTATTATTCACTTTCGCATATCCTTTTGATACGTATTCTTAAAGTAGTTAAATGGATAATAAAATCTATTAATAGATATGATTGGCTAAGTTAGAAAATGAACCAAGGTACCGCCCAAGGTAAAAATCTTTGCCACGCCTTGAAGGTTTACTTTATTGAAATTTAAGAGTATTTAAACTTAATCAAGCGAATACCGAATTCAGTCTAAAATCTTAAGCTTCATCTATTCGACGCCGATTCTCATCATCATGGGCGATTCCATGCGATCACCTTCGAAAGAGTTTAAATGGGTAGCAATAGGAGCGCTTATGCTCATGATGTGTGCTAGTTCAATGTATACTAAAGAAATTGGGAATATGAATATGGATGAATATGACGGTGATAACAAGTATATGATTATGGCGACGATTGGCGATAACCCAATGTATTCGGATCAAATTCCTCAAGCAATAGTCTATGATGAAAAATCTTTGAAATCTGCCAACAAACGATCATCATCAACATATAGATTGTGTGGTTCGAGACTTATCGACGCCATAAAAAGTGTTTGCGGCAATTGTATAAAGCCAATCGGTTTCAGACCTGTTGAAGTGAAAAGAGGTATTAATAATTTCTTATTTTTTCTATTAGCCTTTAGCATTTGCCTAATTTAGCCATTAAACTATACATTTGAAATTAACCAAAATAATAAAATATAATACACTTTTTTTGGCCCATTATTTTATCAGACACCTTTTAGAAGCATTAAAAAAATAATTACTTCCAGCACAAAATAAATGAGAAGAACCCATAGTTGAGAAGTAATCGTAAAAAATTTAAAAATTATGCAATGAGCCTTATAGTGCTTTATTTAATAGCAGAAATACAAGCATACATTAAAAATAGCCTCGATAAAATAGACTTTTATTTTTTTTTTTTTGAAATTTCTACAACTTTTTTTACTACAGAGTACAATTTTTTCCCGAAAAGTTATGTGGTTATGTGATTTTTATCACCACTTCTGATGTAGTTAAGCTACACTAATCTATTCAATCGAGGGAATTCCATCAGGGATCCACCAGCATCACTTGGATTTTTTTACTCATCGGAAAAAGTTTCGACACTGGTGCTGAAAAATGAGGATAACAATGCATTGAGCCATTTTTGGTCTCTAATTCTTTCGTCTGCTTTAATTACTGATTTATATCAATTTTTAGCCTTTTTTCGAACTGATGCAAAAAGTTTGTTCAGTGGACAAAATCTCACTTGATTATATTTACTTTTCCTCAAATCCCACCTGCATTAAAATAGTACTATCATAAAACGTCGCCTCGCTATTTAGGGTACATTCTTCATCGCCCATTATAAGAGTTGAAACAAATCTCGTTACTTGATAAACCATGCGATGGGTGGTGTCGAAAATGAGGGTAGGCTAATCAAGACCTATACTGATAAAGTCAGGAAAGATTTTCAAAATATAGATGGATATATAGACGATGGACAAAGGAATGGCTTAAGGAATGGCTCATTAGCATTCAAATAGCATCAAATCGAGCACTTTGAAGAGATCATGCCCCTGTAACCAGCGGAACCAGCCTAAAGAGTAAGTGGAGGGAGCTGCTAGGAGCTGTTAAAAAGTGTTTGTCTTTTGTACCTTTTTCCTGAAAGATTATCCCGAATTCTTTCTCTTTAAAAAAGAATAATAACGAGTCCGAAAGGACTCATCATCGTACAACATACATATTAATGAGAAACTATCAATTTGCGCATAAAATTGAAAGGTTAAAACGATTCGAAATTTTTAATGCGACAATTCGCTTTTCACGATGTCGTTTGCTAAATATAGCAGTGCTCGTCGATGGCTCAACGGCAAGATAATTGCCATTGAGTATCGAGACTTGAGTTCCAGTTCGTCGATTGCACCACTCTTCGTCGGGCAGCAATGTCTCTTAATGAAAAAAAAGAAATGAGAGTGGAATGGCTCAAGGTTATTGTTCAATTCGAAGCCCCGATGCTAATGCTCCCGGTAGGGAAGACCTCCAAGAATCGGAGCCGACTCGGCTGTACTTCTATCCTCAAGGGACTCTGGCACATTTGTCTAACGCGACAAGCCAGTGGAGCAAGTCTAACTAGCAATGTAAAAAAGGAGCATCACAATTAATGAATACAGAAGTGCTTTTGTGAGGGGTGAATGATTTAACACTTTCGACAAATAGAATACAATCCATATGGAAAAAATTCCATAGGAAATGCCGAATTCTATTTCTTATTTTGCAAATTTCCAATTTGAAACTATTTTTTATAATTTTTTAATTCAATAATTTAATTATAATTTTTTAATAGTTTATTTTCAGAAGCAAATATTTTTAATTTTTAATAAATATTAATTTATGCGATTTACTTCAAAGGAAAAGAAAAAACCAAACTATTAAGAAAACTAAACTTTTCCATTATAAGAATTGCATTTAATACTAATAACGCTAATTAAAAATAAATTAGTAAAAAGTGGGGTTTTTTTACAATCGAATCGTTTTTTTAAGTTTATTAGAACTAATAATGAATAAATTTTATGATGAAAAAATTATCTGAATCTCCTATAATCTTTGATAGAATAGTGATGAATTTGCAAAACGAAAAAAATCTTTTTCGGGGACTGAAAAAAATCACGCGGATTTTGCAGCTAATATAGTTAAATATCTCTCGGATTATATATGATATTACTATATGATATTCGTATGCTATGCGTCATAATGTTTCGTTTCTCTCCTTCCAATAAATTGTATTATACTGAAAATATTAAATAAAAAAATACCTCTCAAAAATAATTTTTACTATCGGTTATCACTGATAATTAATAATTTGATGACTCCAAATCTAATCTAAACTCATTTTCAATATATATATATATATATATATATATATATATATATATTAATAATTTATCAGCAAATCGAATTTAATATTTAATATAAAAAAATTTTATATTTAACATTTATTATAAAATAATTAAAGACTTTAAAAAAATTTTATCTTATTACTTAATATAATCTTTAATGCCTTACACATAATTCTCCATGTTTACCATTTTGCTTTGTTGAAAAAGATTTCTAAAAAATATTAAATTATATATTAGAGGAGCGTACCAAGCACGCTTTCATCTTTTTAGCGAAAACAATATTGTTTTTGATAAGTTCTATTTTTATAAATGATTTTTTTTATTTACATTTTTCTTAAATTATCACAATCATTAACATTTACAATAGTTTAAAAATCTTTTATCATTGTTATTTTATCAATATTTTTTTTTCACCTTGCAATAGCATTCATCATTGTTGATTTGTGGTTTTATTAATCTTTTCAGTGAAATCAGAGAGTTATTTGAGGAAATATAATTAGATGACCAAAACTATCAGCATTTTGCTTTCGATCGGTTTACTTTTGCCAAAAAACGACAACCAAAACTATAATAGTTTAATCTTAGTAATATAAAATACGTGAATTTCTAACTTACACGTATATAATAAGCTATAATTTTCAAAGACAAATGAACAACATTAAGAAATCTATCATCGAAGAAATCTCACGGGGCGAATAAAACATCGTGGCGAGAAGTTTCGTTTTATATAACAATTAAACAAATTCTAATTAATTGAATGGTGTTTAATCGACCTCTTTGATTTAGTAAACCTATAAAGAACACTAATAGAAGTAAGTCTATTCTCGATTTTATAGTAACGAAATAATTGATTTAGTAATAAATAAGAATCGAAAAGGTATACTTAAATATTATTGTTTTTTATGGAAATATTATGGGAAGCATTTTTTTTTTTACAAAAATTTATAGGAAATTTTGAGAAATTTTATTATTCATGAAAAGAAAATTAGAAAATTCAGCAAAGTAATTAATTAATCGCATAAATTTCATAAAAAGCTTATCATTCATTTATTTCATTTTTTATTTTTTCGAACTACTTAAAGTACAAATAAAGAGAATAAATAAATATGTAATGCGAATGAAAAATCTAAAAATTAAAATTTCAAAATTTCTTTCATTTATTTTTCGCTTAATTAAACGTGATTTATGTCATTTGTCGTGAATCTCTCTTCGGATCGTCTCTTAGACAATTTCTAAATAATTTTTTAGATTTTGAGTTTTTTTTCAAATTTTTTAATGCAAAATTTAGCAATAAATAAACAAAAAAAAAATAATTATAAATTTATTTGAATTATAAAAATTTGATTTCATTTTTTGATTTCGATTAATCAAATTTTATGATTTTATAAATTTTATGAGTAGAATTTCAAAGATATTTTCAATTTTCAAAGCTGATTTTTAAACGACCAAAGACCACCAAAGCTTTTTTTAAATCGGGCATAATTTAGAGAATTATCAAAAATATATATATATTCATTGAGCTGCAGATAAAGTTTGCAAGTTTATTAACTTGTCTAGAAATTAAGAAATGAAACTATTTTCAAAATATTCTCGTAAATAATTCTTACAATTTGCCTTTACATTTAAGCTTTTTAAGGAAAATAATAGGCTTATAGAGTTAGTAGAATTTTTAGTTATAATTCTCAATTAGCAAATATAGCTTAATATAAAAATAATAAAAAAATTTCTATAAATTTTACGTATTTCTAAAATTTTATTCGATTTTCAGATGGTTCATATTTGGCGCTGAAACGTAACCAACTGGTTGAACGATGCTGCTTGAACCGTTGTTCATTAGATGAAATGAAAATATTTTGTTGCTGAAGCAAAAAGCAAATTGCTAAATTATTATTCGGCGAGCATTTTTGCTATTCATAAAATATAGTTAAAATTCAAAATATTTCAATTTATTAGATTAAAATTTCTAAAATTTTCCCTTTAGCCCAGTACTGATTTCTGATTTTATTTCTTGCCAAATAGATTTGTTTTTCTCTTTTATTTTTATTTTATCCTAATTTCTTTTTTTTTTCACGACATATGCAATCGCCTTTCTAATATTTCTCAATAAATCTTTATTATTTTTTCGTTTCTGAATTGCTTTATTCATTCTTTTATTTTCAAAATAGTAATCGAGATTTGCGATGAATTTTTTCGTAAATTCTTAAAATTCATAGGCAAAAATTTCTGGAAAGATTGCTCATATGTCCGTTTATTTATGGGATTTTTTTTTTAATTAATAAGATCGATTTATTTAAAAAAAAAGAATGAACAATATGAAGTTTCATGCTTTCAATTCAATTTAAACAATTATAGCAATTATTTTATTATTTGAATCGAAAGGCTTTCAAAATAAATCTATTTTTAATTGAATTATGGTTTTTTTCTCTGCAAAAAACTGCTGTATTCGATGGTAATTCACTTCACTTTTTTTTCACTATATTCTGTATATATCTCTTTCATAGTACCTTATTGTGGAGGAAATTAATTCATTTTTGCTAGTAATATTTATTAATAATATCTTTGTATTGTATTATACAAAATAGCACTATTCCACTATTAAAACTATTCAATATAATAAAGTTATATTCATAATTGTCTTTATGAATTCGAGATCTTATTTGCTCTTAAATTTCTATTTTATCTGTCAAATGAGTAGAAATGAATAAAGATTGCAAGATTTGGCAAGAAAATTCTTTGTTATTTTGCATTAAAAACCTATTGCTTATTAAAATTTGTAAT